TCGTGGGGCCTGAACTCTGGGCCTGGGCGCTGTCCTTCAGCTTTTCAGCTCAAGGCGAGCGCTCTACCACTTGAGCCACAGCGCCACTTCCAGCTTTTTTATTTTTTCTGCTTATGTGGTGCTGAGGAATCAAACCCAGGGCCTCAGGCATGCTAGGCAAGTGCTCTACCACTGAGCCACCTTCCCAGCCCCACAGCTGGTATTTCTTACTGACTATAGGAAGAGAATAGAGAGGCTATAGCTCGAGTTATTAGTTAAAAATGATGCAGGCATGTTTTATGTCCGTGTCATGGTCTGAATGAATAAGACTTGTCCAAAAGTGGAAGTTATTTTTACTCTGTAGTCTTCACTTTATTTTTTTGTCGGTTGTGGAACTTGAACTCAGAGCCTGTGCACTGTCCAAGAGCTCTACTCCTTGAGCCACAGCGCCACTTCCAGTTTTCTGGTGCTTCATTGGAGATATGAATCTCATGGGGACTTTCCTGCCTGGGCTGGCTTCAAACTGTGATCCTCAGATCTCAGCCTCCTGAGTAGCTAGGATCACAGGTATGAGCGACTAGTGCCTAGCACCAAAGTCATACTCAGTTTGACTTTTCTGTCTAAATCCACATTAATAGTCACAAGGAAAATGTCCAGACTTTGCCTGTCTGAGGGTGTGCAGGGCGTACACCACACGAAAGCACCTAGCAGGGACTCCTGCTCAAGCATGGCATCAGTGCGGGGCCGCCTCACAGGTCGCCGTGTGCTCACACTCTGCGGCTCGGTCTTGCCCTGGCAGGTTATGAGCCGCTGGCGCCGCTGCCCCCGGCCGCCGCCTCTGTGCCCGTGTGGCAGGACCGCACCATCGCCTCCTCCCGGCTGCGGCTCCTGGAGTACTCAGCCTTCATGGAGGTGCAGCGAGACCCAGACACGGTAACGTGTTGGGGGAGGGGGAAGGGCGCTTGGCGCTGTCCTGAGGGACTGGCCGTGATCCTGGACTCCGGTGCAGGGCCCTGGCGAGGCCTCCCTGGACCCCTGTTGCTGGAGGTCCCCCTAACCCCGGCTGGGCCCTCCCCACAGTACAGCAAACACCTGTTCGTGCACATCGGCCAGACCAACCCCGCCTTCTCAGACCCGCCCCTGGAGGCGGTGGACGTGCGCCAGATCTACGACAAGTTCCCTGAGAAGAAGGGGGGGCTCAAGGAGCTCTATGAGAAGGGGCCCCCCAATGCCTTCTTCCTCGTCAAGTTCTGGGTAAGCCGCCCACTCTCCACGGAAGCCCCTTCCTGCCCCAGATGGCAGCAGACCCCTGCCCGGCTCCTCCTGTGGGCCCCGGGGTGGCCCCTGGGCGGCAGGACACCACCCTAAGCCTGCTCTCCCCAGGCCGACCTCAGCAGCACCATCCAGGAGGGCCCAGGCACCTTCTACGGGGTCAGCTCCCAGTACAGCTCCGCCGACAGCATGACCATCAGCGTCTCCACCAAGGTGTGCTCCTTCGGCAAGCAGGTGGTGGAGAAGGTGGAGGTGAGTGGGTGCTGGGGCGGGGGGTGGGGGTGGAGGGGGGGTTCCCACGAGCCTGGGGGAGGGAGCCGGCCGGGCTGCCTGTGACTTCCTCCTGGCTTTTCCTGCAGACAGAGTATGCCCGGCTGGAGAACGGCCGCTTCGTGTACCGCATCCACCGCTCGCCCATGTGCGAGTACATGGTCAACTTCATCCACAAGCTGAAGCACCTGCCCGAGAAGTACATGATGAACAGCGTGCTGGAGAACTTCACTGTCCTGCAGGTACGGGCGGGCGGCCCAGCTGGGATCGAACACACACAGGCACGCGCACACGCACGCACGCACACGGGTGGGAGGAAGGAGGAGCATCTGTGAGCACCGCCTCCCATCTTCCTCCCTGCCCCCCAGGTGGTCACGAGCCGGGACTCCCAGGAGACCCTGCTGGTCATCGCGTTTGTCTTCGAAGTCTCCACCAGCGAGCATGGTGCCCAGCACCACGTGTACAGGCTGGTCAAGGACTAGGACGCCTGCTCCCCTCGCCGACCGCAGGACCAACGTCCTCCACATCCTGCCTGCCGGCCCCCACCCTGGGCCTGGGCCCAGGACTCAGCCACCCAAAGGCCTCGGGCCGGGACCCTGGTGGCCTCCTCCTTGGTTGTCCCCAGCACACACGCTCCCTGTCACTGATCTGCGCTTTACTGTGGGAGGGGAGGGCAGGGCTCGGGGGTGGGACGGCCGCTTGCCCACCGTCGCCTGGCTCAGAGGTGGGGATGGAGACCGCGGCGGCCGCCAGGCCCCGGGCAAGCTGAGGCCCAGGAACCGGTGAGGACTGGTTGAGGAGAGGGGCCCACACCCCGCACGTCCTGGGTGGGTGGGTGGCAGGCCCTTCTGGTGGCGTGTGCCACCCTCAGAGACCCCGCAAGGCAAGCTGGCTCCCCGCGTTTCAGATGAGGTGCTGAGGCTGAGAAGAGGGCAGAGCTGCAGCCCAGGGTCGCGCTACCTCCCTGCAGCAGGGGGGGATGAGAGGAAGAGGGGCGCCGGCAGGGCTCAGAGCCAACTGGGAACCACTGGGCCAGGGCCTGGCAGAGCAGCTGCCAGTCCCGGTCCCCAAGCCTCCAGGGGCCAGCGCGGGAAGGGCACAAAGGCCTTGAGGCTTCAGAAAGCCGGGCACCGCCCCCTGTTGGGCGGGGGAGGGGGCTCCCTACCTGGGCAGCAGCTCCCTAGACCCTCCCCCTGTGGCCCTTCCCAGGCCCTGTGGGTATTTATGAGTGTCATATGAAGTACTGTGCCCCTCCCTGCCCTCGGCCGCCGGCGCCTGCCGGTCCTCACCGTGTGCAACTGCTCAGGCCACCTCCGAACCCCACTCGGTTTTATAACATGTATTATATATATTTTTTGTGTTGTTTTTTAAATCCAGCTGTGATGGGTTGTATTACAAATGTGGCTCTGGGCAGAGGCCGGGGCCCCTCAAAGGCCTGGCCCCTGCTTAAACAAGAAAATAAAAGTTGTTTCTGGGTCAAATCATGACCAATGTGTGGTGGACCGTTTAGTAGCGGTGGTGGGTGCGTGGCTGGGGGTGTTCCCTGTCCCCCGTCTCCCATGTCTCCCGCTGGTGTCGGGACACAGGAAGCAGAGGTGCGCAGAAACCTTTCTAAGCCCCAACCTGTATCATGCCCTGTGGCCAGCTAGATGCTCATGTGCCCCGGGTTGCAACGACTTGCTCAGCATGTCTGGCTACCGAGATGGGAATTCCAGGGCCCCATCTAACCGGCAGTCCAGCTGGACACTGGTGATTACAGCTCACAGCTGTAATGCTAGCTACTCAGGAGGCTGAGAGCTGAGGATCACTGCTCAAAGCCAGCCCGGGCAGGAAAAGCCATGAGACTCTTATCTCCAATGAACCACCAGAAAACTGGAAGTGGCGCTGTGGCTCAAGTGGTAGAGCGCCAGCCTTGAGCAAAAGAAGCTTAGGGACAGTGGCCAGGCCTTAATTCAAGCCCCAAGACCGGCATAGGGGTCAAGAGAGAGGAAACGCCAAGGCCCTCATGATGGGAGCACAGTCTCACTGCTGGTCTGTCCCCGCCCCGCCCTCCGTGCCACAGTGCACAGGGGCTGGGGTCGCCTGGACCTCCCCAGTGGGCCTTCAGTCTCCACCAGGACTTCAACATGGGCTGCATCCACTGGTTCCTGGATGAGACCTGGGCACTCGGGTCTCGGCATAGCCACTAGCACACATCCCCTCGCAGCGCTGGGAACAGTCCACCCACGTTCAAACTCGTACATCTACCTTGGGCTAAACCTGGTAATCCTAGCCTAGCCTCTGATCCAGGTCCTTCAGAGCCAAACATACATAGCGTTGTAGCAGTTCAAAAAATCAGCATCGCTGGGTATGGGTGGCTCACACCTGTAATCCTAGCTATTAAGGAGGCTGAGATCTGAGGATCATGGCTCAAAGCCAGCCTGTGCAGGAAAGTCTGTGAGACTCTTATCTCCAGTAAACCACCAGAAAACAGCAGTGGTGCTGTGGCTCAAGTGGTAGAGCACTTGCCTTGAGCTGAAGAGCTGACAGTGCCTAGGCCCAAAGTTCAAGTCTCATGACCACCAACAAAAACCCAAACCAGCCTTCTGTGGCTTTTTGCCTTGGTCTACAGCATTAAGACCCGACATTTGCTTAGTAATATGCCAAGAGGCCCCACTACTACATGGGAGGGGCCCTGGGGGCAGAAATCCACTTAGGTACTTAAGAAACCCACCTCATTTTAAATCCGCCAGCCATGCACACAGCTCAGTGTCGGCTGCCTTCGAGCAGTACTTTACAGACAGCGCAGACCCTGCTCATCCTGGCAGGGCAACTGAGCTCCAAAGCTGAGGTACAGCACAAAACTGAGCAGACAAAGCCGCCTTCTCCAGCACTCTGCAATGAAGCTGCTTCCAACGGACCAGCATTCTGAAGCAATTTCTTGTGGTCTTGTTAACTTTGCCTCTGCCTCTTGGATAAACTGGGATTTCACATGTGCAGGCACAGCATAATGCCTAGCTTTAAGCACCAATTTTGCACTTTGGATTAACTATATTAAAAAGCTGAAGGCTGTGTGTAGTGGCTCAATCCTGTAGCCCCAACTTCTTGGGAGACTGAAGTGATTGCCTTCTTTTGAAGCCAGACTAGGAAACAAGGATCCCTGAAATCCTCAGGCCAAGATCTGAAGGTAGATGTTTGAATCCAACAAGGGCAGGAAAGCTCATGAGGGCTGGGAATGTGGCTTAGTTGGTACAGTGCTTGCCTAGCATGCATGAAGCCCTGGGCTTCATTATAAACAAAAATAGCCAGAAGTAGCACTGTGGCTCCAGTGGGAGAGTGCTAACCTTGAGCAAAAGAAGCCCAGGGACAGTGTCCAGGCCTAGCGTTCAAGACCCAGGACTCTCATCTCCAATTAATCACTATGAAGCTGGGCCTGGCACTGGTGGCTCATGTCTGTAATCCTCGCTACTCAGAAGACGAGATCTGAGATTGAGGTCCAAAAATAGCCTGGACAGAAAAGTCAGATTCCTATCTTCAACTAACCACTCAAAAACAGAAGCAGAGCTCAATCGGTAGAGCCTTGAACACAAAAGGGTCCAGGGACAGTGCCCAGGCTACACAACTATCCAAAAGAGTCAGGGGCCAGGCAGCTGGCTCAATGGTAGTGTGTCTTGCTTTGCATGCATGAGGCACCACATAAACAGAAGCCAGAAGTGGTGCTGTGGCTCAAGTGGTAGAGCACTAGCCTTGAGCTGAAGAGCTGAGGGACAGCGCCCAGGCCCCAAGACAGACAAGAAAAAAAAAAAAGCGGCACTGGTACCTCATACCTGTTAATCCTACTCCAGGATGAGATGTCTGACAGCCCAGGCAGATCTCATCTATAATTAACCAGCAAAGAGCTGGAAAATGGAGTGTGGCTCAGGTGCTAGGGCATTAGCCTTCAGCCAAAAAGCTCAAGGAGAGTACCCAGGCACTCTAAAGCCTCATGAGGGGAGATACATATGCAATTAGTTGATTTCTGTATTTACCAAAGCGAGGCGGTTATATGGGCTAAAGCACTGGCACTCAGTACCAAAGCAGAGACAAGAACTGGCAACAAGAAATGCCTTAAGGGGCTGGGAAGGTGGCTCAGTGGTAGAGCGCTTGCCTTGCATGCCTGAGGCCCTGGGTTCGATTCCTCAGCACCACATAAGCAAAAAGAAAAAAGCCGGAAGTGGCGTTGTGGCTGACCTTGAGCTGAAGAGCTGAGGGACAGCGCCCAGGCCCAGAGTTCAGGCCCCACGACCAGGACCCCCCAAAAAAAGACCTGTGTTAAAGACAACCCAGCATACACAGGAACAGGTTCTGGGCTAGACTGGAAAAGCTGCCAGACAGGGTTACCTGAAAAGCCCAAGCCTGTTGAACAGCTGTATCAAATGCCTGGGAGATGACAGAATGCCCCTTTTGTGGTGCCTATCACCAAGGGAAACAATCGCCATCAGCAGCTGGCAACCCCACCCCTCATCACAGGCAGACCAAAGTGACGGTAGCACTAGGATTTATTGAACGTCTTAGTACAGGCGCTGGGGCTTGCCCATGGTGCTCTTGATGTACAGAGCCCGGACGTTCTGCCAATTCTTCTTGAGCAATGAGACCAGGAAGTTGACAGCTAAGTGGATGTTGTACACAAGTTCATCATCTGTCATTTTCACGTGACCAACAGCAACAGCCAGACACAGCACCTGGGGAAGGAGAGCAGGTCAAACCAGGTAAGAAGATGGCCCGTCCCACTGCCTTGTGACCGAAGGGACAGCCCACAGCGGGCAGTGCTTAGATCCAGGCTATCCCAGAAGCTTAATTCTGCTCAGGGCCTTCACAGCACCACATCCTGTGTCCTGTCCCCACGTTTAGACTGGGGGTGACAGAAAAGCCCTGCCACCACCTTGCCCATGGCACCAGCTGGTGAGCCATACCTTCTTCATCTGGAACTTGATAGTGGACTTCACCTCATCCACTTTGGCCACCATGTTTTCATTGTGTGTGAGCAGAGATGGGAACTTGCCAGCCTTATTCAAGCCTGGGCCCAGGATTCGTGGAATCTGCTTGATCAGAGACTCTGAAGCCAGAAAGGCATCATACTTCTTAGCTGGAAAGAGAAAGCCATGAGATGCTGCGTCCTGGCCAGGCACAGATCTCCAGACCGAACATTATTTAAACCACACAAGCAACCTCCAACCAGCAGCCTTGTCCTTAATGGAACCCTCCACCCAAGTGCCCCCTTTTCCTAGCTTTAAGTCTCTAACCAGGCAGAACCATGTGAGTCAAGATCTGAATCCAGGGCTGGGAAGGTGGCTTAGTGGTAGAGTGCTTGCCTTGCATGCATGAAGCCCTGGTTTTAAATCCTCAGCACCACATAAGCAGAAAAAGCTGGAAGTGGCTAGCCTTGAGCTGATGCAGAGCCCAGGACCCAGAACTAACAACAAATCTGAATCCAAACCCCTCCCAAGAAGAGACACAGGCTCAAATTCTGTATCCTCCCTATAGGTGATGGAATGAACCGGATATATTTAGAGCAAACTCTCTAAACGAATTCCAGCACAATCTCCCCGCCCCCCCCCAGCCACTCAAGGTAAGTGGCCAATTACATCACCATCGGGAAGCCCAGACGGCTCTCCTGAGGGCGGCCGGCTTGGAGCTTACCCAGCTTCTTGACCAATTTCTTATTCTTGTTGAGCTTCTTCAGCGCCTCGATGTCCATGTGGGGGATATCCACGGCCTTGGCCTCATCGCAGTGCTGCTGGTCCCCCAAGACGCACACGGAAAACTTGGGGCGGGGAGTGGACTTAAGCCTGTGTTTGGGAGCGAGGCGTACACAAGAGGTCACGGCCCGCCCCGGAGAACCAAGAGCTGGCGATGGGGTCGCGGGCGGCAGCGAGCGCTCAGCCTTCCTTACCCAGGGCGTCCACGATCACCAGCAACTAGTCTGGCTTCTCAGACTAGCCGGCGGGCTCGGCCGAGGCCTCCCCACGCCTCCCCTCATGTTTTAAGACCCAGGGTGGGGGTCCGTCCAGCCGCGCCTGCGCGGGGCAGGGGGTCGGAACTACCCGGGCGGTCAGTGCGCACGTGCCCGCCTCAAGGGGGGGCCGGGCGCGGGGACACTGAGGGCTGGGTGGGGCGAGCGGTGCCAACCTGACGGTGCCCGAGAAGCGCTTGTCCTTCTGGGGGTCGTAGTTCTTCAGGCTGATCTGCAGCTCCACCGTCTCCAGGAACCTTCGGGGAGCGAGC